GCAGGTGCCTGTAGTCCCAGCTACTTGGGAGGCTGAGACAAGAGAATCACCTAAGGCCTAGAGTTGGAGGTTGCTATGAGCTGTGACGCCATGGCACTCTGCCCAGGGCAACAAAATGAGACTCTGTCTTTAAAATAAATATTAATAAATAAATAACAAAAATGCATTATTTTTAAATAATAAATAAATTTTATTTATTTAAAATTTATAATAAAATAAATAAATAAAAATAAATAAATAAATAAATAAAATAATTTAAAAAAAAGAAGGAGAAAGGGGGAGAGACGTTTAGATTTTGAGGCCATGGTATAGCAGCCAGAGATGGACTTGACTGAGTGGGCAGGGCCACTCTGTTCCAGCAGAACTTATGGAAACAGGCAGCAGCTGGAGGTGGCCTGCAGCTTGCAGGTTCTCTTTCTAGGCAGCTGTTCTCAACCTTCCTAATGCCTCCTACTGCTGCGACCCTTTAATACAGTTCCTCATGTTGTGGTGCCCCCCAACCATAAAATTATTTTAGTTGCTACTTCATAACTGTAATTTTGCTACTGTTATAAATTGTAATGTAAATATCTGATCTGCAGGAATCGTAGGTAAATATCTGATATGCAGGATATATTTTCTTTTTTTTCATTTATATGAAACCATTTAATACTTTTTAAATCTAAAACATAATATTTAAGAGAATACAACTATTTTAAAGCTAACAAAACAACATAGATACACGGACTAACTAAAAATCAAAATCTCCATTCATTTTAATTTGGGATACATTGTAGGATGTATTTTCGTTGTTACAAAGGCCTCAACCCACAGGTTGAGAACTGCCGTTCTGGGAGAAATCTTTTGCAAACAAAGCAGGCTAGCTTGGGATTGCATGGATGGACCCTGTGGAGTCCGAGTGCACCCCTCCATGCAGTGTTGTTGTCAGGGCACATTCTGAGGAGGAACCAGGTGGCAGAGCGCTGGCAACTGATGCTGCTGCTTTGTCTGCAGGCCTGGTAACGTTCTGTAACGCCTCCCTGGACTCCTCCCAGAAAGAAGCGGTTTCTTTTGCACTGTCCCAGAAGGAACTTGCCATCATCCATGGGCCTCCTGGCACTGGGAAAACCACGACAGTGGTGGAAATAATTCTTCAAGCTGTGAAGCAAGGCTTAAAGGTGAGTGTGGATGCTACTTCCCTGCTGGTGTGTCACGGTTAGTGGGGACTCGTCGGGGCCCAGCCTCAGTTATGGGGTTGGTCGGGAACACCCCTGATCGGTTGTTGGTTGAGCAATGGGCTGGGCCCTTTCTGATTTCTGCCAGCCCCACGAGACATGGGGAGTGTGCACAGGAATGGCTGCCTGCATTACAGGGGACAGCGCCTGGAGGCTCTCTGGGATCGCCAAAGCCTCTGTTGTTGAGCTGGCCACTGTCTAGGCTTCTGTAGCTCATCACATGTGCTGTATGCTTGTGGTCTGTGCTTGGGCTGATGATGAGGATGTGGAGTTGACCAGGGCCCACCCAGTCTGTGCCTTTCGGGAGCCCAGCATCTGGTAGGAGACAGTGGTGGTCTAGTTATTCAGGTGGCCTGGTTAATTGCTGTGACACACATCACTGCTTTTCTGATGAAGAGTATAATACTTCACATTGTTGTTCACCTTTGTTGTTTTTGAGACAGTGTCTCTGTCACCCCAGTTGGAGTGCGGTGGCATCACCGAAGCTCAGTGCAACCCCAAACTCCTAAGTTCAAGTGATCCTCCTGCCTCAGCTTCCAGGGTAGCTGGGACTACAGGTGCCCACTGCAACACCTGACTGATTTTCCTGTTTTTAGTAGAGATGGGGTCTGTCTCTTGCTCAGGCTGGTCTCAAACTCCTGAGTTTAGTCCTCCCACTTAGGCCTCCCAGAGTGTTAGGATTATAGGCGTGAGCCACCACACTTGGCCTCCCTTACATTTTTAATAGATGAGAAAGGCTCTTTTATCTTTATCTGCATCAACTTGAGTCTTATGAATCTGAGCACATGGAAAGCTTTTTAAAAAATCTTGATGGGGGGCCAGGCATGGTGGCTCATGCCTATAATTCTAGCACTCTAGGAGGCAGAGATGGATGGATTTCTGGAGGTCAGGAGTTTGAGACCAGCCGGAGCAAGAGTGAGACCTTGTCTCTTAAAAAAACAAAACAAAACAAAACAAAAAACTAGCTGGGCATTGTGGTGGGTGCCTGTAGTCCCAGCTACTTAAGAGGCTGAGGCAAGAGGATCACTTGAGCCCAGGAGTTGGAGGTTACTGTGAGCTATCATGCCAGGGCACTCTACTGAGGGTGACAAAGAAAGACTTTTTTTTTTCTTTTGTGACAGAGGCTCAAGCCGTCGCCCTGGGTAGAGTACCATGGCATCACAGCTCATAGCAACCTCCAACTCCTGGCTCAAGTGATCCTCTTGCCTCAGCCTCCTAAGTAGCTGGGACTATAGGCGCCTGCCATAATGCCCAGCTATTTTTTGGTTGTAGCCGTTGTTGTTGTTTAGCAGGCCTGGGCTGGATTTGAACCCACCAGCTCAGGTGTATATGACTGGTGCCTTAGCTGCTTGAGCCATAGGCACAGAGCCAAGAAAAAAAAAGTCTTGATGAGAATTGTAACAGTGATGTGACGTCAGCATTTGTAGGTGACATTGACTAGGTACTGCTGATGAACCAGGCACCTTCCTAAGCCCCTTTCTTGTATTTGCTTATTGAATCCTATAGAAACCCTGTGTTCTGAGGCTAGTGGGGGCCCCAGTTTGTAAACAAGGAAACCGAGAAACAAAGTCAAGGGCCCAGCACTCAGCAGAGAGTAGAAGAGCCAGGGATAGAACTTGGGCAGAGCTGTTTCTGTTCAGAGGACAGGGACCTGTTACTCAGCTAAAAAATCGGTTTTCTACAAATGAATTTATTTGTAGATGTTTTAAAACTGATACGAAAAGATGACTTGCTGGCAGGAAGCACATTAGCCTTTTTAATTGGCTACCTTCTGTCTCCATAACCAGCATGAGACGATGTACCTGTGTTCACACCTGTGTGCCGATATGCTTTTTGTTTAGCTGGCCCAGGCCGGGTTCAAACCTGCCAGCCTCGGTGTATGTGGCCGGCACTGTAACCACTGTGCTACAGGCGCCAAGCCTAGGTGTGCTTTTTGGACATGTCGGTGGTGGGGGGCAATGGTACCAGGCATTTGGCAGGGGGTCAGGGGTGGTCTGAGGCCTCCTTCCTGGACTCCATTTTGTCTTGAGGGTGGAGGTATATAGGGACTTTCCTCTCTGTCCCTTCTGCCAGCTGCCACATACTTCTCGTAAGGGAACTGTAGTTCCAGAAGCAAGAGTGAGCCCATTCAGAGAGAGTTTCCCTGTTTGACTTTGTCAGATGATAAAGGGGTTTGGTTGGTGATGAGATGGATGCCCAGGCCCTGATGATTTCAGGGCACACTTTAATTTTTGAGTCTTTTTCCTTCCAGTTGCAAGTCATTTAACATGCTTTGGTGGCTAATAGGCTTTGAGGACCATTTGCAGGTTCCAGTTGTCCAGAGAGCATCAGCATCAGCTTGTAGTAGCTGGTGTCCTTTAGGCTGTGTGTCCAACCATGTGAACGCCGCTGCATGCTGATGCTGACATGCGTACACTGTAGCCCTTCTTTCTTTACCTTTAAGCTTCCTGTTGTTTTAGTGTAAACTTAAGTGGCCTGATTAAAAAAGAATTGAGCAGCCCTCATGTGAGCCTGGTGTTTCCCAGGTCCTGTGCTGTGCTCCCTCTAACATCGCAGTAGACAACCTGGTCGAGCGTCTGGCTCAGTGTAAGCAGCGGATTCTGCGCCTTGGGCACCCCTCCCGGATCCTGGAACCCATTCAGCAGTACTCCCTGGATGCAGTTTTAGCGCGGAGTGATGGCGCCCAGATTGTTGCAGAGATCAGGAAGGACATCGATCAGGTCTTTGTATGTGTCCTGGTCACTGGCCCCTTGGCCTGTGGTTTTCTGATCTGCAGTCTGTTAGAGGAGTGAATTGGATCTGTCTGCATTCCTCTTCTATTCTTGTCTAATAATTTAAAAAATTGAACTTCATTTTTTTTCCAAAGTCTTGCTCAGTTGCTCCAGGCTAGTGTGTCTTGTTGTTAGCCTAGCTCATAGCAACCTCAAACTCCGGGGCTTAACTGGTCCCCCCGTCTCAGCCTCCCAAATAGCTGGAATTAAAGGGGCCCAACCCCAGGCCTAGCTAGTTTTCTTTCTTTTTTTTTGAGACAGAGTCTCACTATGTCACCCTCAGTAGAGTGCTGTGGCTTCACAGCTCATAGTAACATCAACTCTTGGGCTTAAGTGATTCTCTTGCCTCAGCCTCCCAAGTAACTGGGACTACAGGCGCCCGTCACAACACCTGACTTTTTTGTTGTTGTTGTTGCAGTTGTCATTGTTGTTTTGGCTGGCCTGGGCTGGGTTCGAACCCGCCAGCCTGGGTGTATAGGGCCGGTGCCCTAGCTACTTGAGCTATAGGTGCCGCCGATGAATCTTTTTTTTCCTTTTTGAGATGGAATGTTAAGCTGTCATCCTGGATAGAGTGCTGTGGCATCTTAGCTCACAGCAACCTCCACTCTTGGGCTCAAGTGATCCTCTTGCCTCAGTTTTTGTATTTTAGTAGAGACAGGGTCTTGCTTTTGCTCAGGCTGGTCTCGAACTTGTGAGCTCAAGCAATCCACCTACCTCGGCCTCCCAGAGTGCTAGGATTACAGACATGAGCCACCACGCCCAGTCTTGGACTGTCCATTTTTGGTACAGAGCTATATTCAGCATTTAGTAGAGATTTATCCATCTTCAGGGTACCTGATAAGTACACAAGTCTTTTTTTTTTTGAG